AGATTAAAAATCGTAATATACTAATTTTAATATACAAATACATTTTATGAACTAAATGTTTACATTATATCTCGAAAGGTTAATACTTCAACTCCAAATGGCTTTTATGTATATACCTTTCAACGGCAAAATGCTGTTTTCAACAATACCGGCTGGTATGGTTGCACGAATTACAACGTCAGCATTACTTTAAATTCTTATAATGATCCCAAAGTAAACTGGATATATGTGTATGTAAAATGTAAGATCAAATCGCATTATTCATTTATATATAATGTGTCTACGTCTTGTTCATTACACATAAATTTTGATAATAAATTAATTTGTTACAGCTAATACACATTTTTTTGTGGAAACGGACAACGATATTACTCTGACCACAGTTGTAGGCAATGACATCACTATACCATGCAGACCTACATCACCAGAATTACAACCAATCTTGTACAATGTAAGTATTAACAATGAACAAACAAAACATAACTTTTAAAAAATTTAATTACATTATATTTATTATTACGCAACTTGTATCTGGATTTAATTTGACAATCTTAATCAAATAACTTTCAATATTTAGAAATAATTTCGCTGCTTTATTTGTTCACATTTGTAGGATATATGATTTCGACATGCCAATTTCTGCTACAAAATTGTACAAGATTATTTTTTTTTCTTTTCTTAATAGTGTTAAATCTTAGTATTATTTTAAGTATACAATTATTTCAAATAATTTTTACACAAAATACAAAAAACAGTTTTACTTATTTAATTTCTACAGACTAGGGTTATAACATTAGAATTTGTTACACAATTTATATCTTGCCCGTACGCGACACATGTTCAACAAAATTAAGAGAAAGATAGCTGTTTTAATCAACACACAAAAAATAAACACTCTGTATATTCAAATTAGTTTAAACCTTACTTGACCTTGGTAATCAACAAATTAAATTATGGTCATGACAAAGCTCTCTATTTATTTCGTGAGGCCTTACCATTTGCACACTCGTACTGTCCGCATCAGAGAGAGACAGAGAGGAGGAATAGACCAACGCGAAATACCGGAGGCTCCGAAAAGCTCATTATTGCCACCTGTTACTTGTTACATGTATTCATGTTTCTAGTCGCGCATTTCTAATCAATATAAACTTTATTTGATAAACTCCAACGAAATACAGAGACAAATAAAACTAATAACTTGCACATAAATTATATTTCTCAACAGATTAAATTGAGTTTCTAAATAAAAGAGTTTTTATATTGAAGAAGTTTTTAATATGTTATTGCTGCAAATTCTTTAATCGCAACAATTTTATCAGACTAACATTTATAATATAATGTTTTTAAAATTTTACGCATTTAATGTATAGGACGACGACATGATAAAAAAGCCATATAATCCGAAAACTGGCTTTACAATGCAGAACCTAACAGTGAAAGATAGTGGCTGGTACAAATGTTTGATAGAAAAAGATAATAAATCGCAAGACATTCATTACATATTGTCTGTGAATCGTAAGTATGACCAACGTAAGATTATTAATTTAATCATACATATATAAACGTTGAAAGACAACATAACATCTTGATCGCAATTACATTAAATAATGAAATGTATTTGATAAGAATACGAATTATATTTATAGGAAAAGAAATCTTACCTGTTCCAAAAATCAACGACGAAAGTTTACATCACATTACTCGCGGAGAAAATCTCTATGTAAATTGCACAGTTGTAGTAGACACGTCTATGCGGTACGAGTTTAATTGGATCACACCGCAAGAGGTAGACAAATTTGTTTTAGTTTTACATAACGAAAAAGAAATAGTTATTAAAACCGTTTTATTCAAGTTTTATCAACCGTTTACCATGTTTTTGTAAAAAAAAGAATACTTAAAATGCGCACAAAAAACATTTAAAAAAAGTTTCAAAATGTTTTTTTTAATTAAAATTTGTTAATTTTTTTCGGAGTTACAACGCTTTAAAAATTGTTTCTTTTTTCTGAGCAATTTTTCTTGATTTCCCTTAATTGTTGTTTTAAATGTTTTTATTAATTTATCATTTGCATGTATTGTTTTTTTTTTGTTTACAGGATAGCAATAGAACAAGCACTAAACAGTTTAGAGAAAATTATGATAAAAATATTCTACTTACGTGTCAATTAACGATACTTAATGTAACGGACGAGGATGCGGCAGGAGAATACGAATGCTTCATTAAGTCAACGTATGACACAAAAAGAACAACGAGAAAGATCACAATATACGGTTAGTTTATTATCAACGTACAAAAAATATATATATTTGTAAAAAATTAAATTTTTTATTCAAATAATTGTATGCATGTTGTTGACAACAAAGTTGTTTAATTTGGAATTCTAAATCTAGTCCTAAATCTGTAAATTGTATAAGTGTATGTACATGTAACATTATTATTAATATATGCACATATAGTTTTTATATGTATACATATAGTACATACTATGTATAATTTTAGATCCTCAATAAAGAATATAAATCTTACACTTCAAGATACTAATAGACATTACGAAAGAAATAAAGGCAGTGACGTACAATGGGTTGTTTATATCGATGCGTACCCAACAGCTTATCTACAATGGTAAATTTTTGCAAAATATTCAAAATTTTTAATTTGATAATTAAAATGTATTTATTATATATTTCTTTATATTTGCAAGTATATGTTAAAATATATATATATATATTCAATACAAGCACGTTTATTTGTGAGAAACTACATGTTTCATACTTTGCTTTTTTATTTTTTTTAAAACAATATATACTATGTTTTAATATCTTGTTATTTTTAACAAATTTCTTTATTATATATATATATATAGGTTTAACACGAAAGGCAAGGAAATTACAAAGGATTCAAAATATTCCGTGGATACAACTTCTCTTCGTACTGTTTTGAAGATAAGCTCATTAGACATAACGGACACGGGAATTTATATGCTTAAAGCTAAAAATGCACATACAATTGAAAAGTTAAATTTCACGCTGCATGTCATGGGTATTCGAATCATTCTTTAATACTTAATAAAACTGAAGTAACTGCAGTGTATTGTGTAACTATATTGATTCTAGCTGAACCGTATCCCGCACTGGAACGTACCGCATCTTACTATACACCTAACACTAATGCGGAATTTCATTGCAAAGTGCTATCATTTCCGCCCCCAAATATAACGTGGAGTTTTTGGAAATGTCCTAATTATCCATCATTTGAAAATTCAACAATTGTGCAACTGACAGTAAGTACAATCTTTTGTTGACTTAATTTTTATTAGGTAAATATTTATATGATACTTTATATAACCAAAAAAATTCTTTCAATTTTATAGGATGTAACGCCAAGTGTAACTTCCAATATCGAATTTATTTCGAGAATAAAAATGCTTATCGAGATGTCGGGAAGAATAACATGTAAAGCCTGCAATGACCGTGGTTGTGACAATTCAACTGCCTCAATTCTTGTTTCCGGTAAGAATATATTATCCGTTATTATCTACATTGGTTGAAACTATGATACTCGAATAAAAAATCTGAACATACTGTATGTTTAAACTGTTTAAATAATTTGAAACAAAAATAGCTTTAGCTTTAAGCTTCGAGTTTGGAAAATATTCATAGTTTCATCAATTCAACGTAAGCAATAATTGATCAATAATGTCAATTTATAATGCTTCAATATTGGAAATGTTTAGACAGAAAATTGAAGCAAAAATAGTGTAAATATAAAATAAACAGTTTTTTTTGGTTTTATTTAACTTTATGCAGATTCGATACTATTATTATTGATGTTTTTATAGTATATTTTAATTTCTTAAGTACATTCTTATATTCCCTTCTTATTTTTCCGTTATTATTTATGTTTAAATACAAACTACATTAACAAGATATAATTTTTAGAAATCTTTTCATTTGATTTAAAATGCCTTTAAATGTATTAATATGTCAATAACACAACAATTTTTTTATTTTTTAAATATTATAGATGGAGTAGGTGCTTTCGGTATTATCAAACCAAAAGAGCCGATGACAGCAGGTGATAATATAGAATTAACATGTGCTGCTTCCATTTATAATTATACACATGATCTTACATGGACAAACCAGACTCAAGCGCCATTTGTAAAAACAGGTAATTGTTTAAAACAAAGAAATAATAAAAAAAAGGGATTTAAAAGTTGAGCGCAATAACATTGTAACATATAAAACACATAATATAAAATATTATATTTAATATTACTTTTAATTATATATTATAATATTTTGTTTTATATGCATTCTATGTTTACGCTCAGAATTGTTCAATATAAAATTTAAGTTTTTATCTTTACTTTTATTTCTTAGTTGTTAATATATGTAGAAAAGATATAAATATAAATATATTGTTTATAATCTTTGTAATTTCAGAAAGACTAAATATTATACAACATAAAACTTCATTCACCTATCGATCAACTATAAAAATTAATAATGTGCAAAAATCAGATGCTCAGAATTATATTTGTAATGGGAAATCCAGGGATATGATATCAAACACTTTTTCGGAAATAAAATATAAATTGGTTGTGCATGGTAATTATAACATTTCTGTACATTTAAGTAAAAAATTATTTTAAGTTTAGTTATATTTATAATAATTTAATTTTGTTAAGAAAAACTGAACATTATCAGAGTTTCTTTCAAAAACGTCAAAATGGAACAAATCTCAAATTTTTTCAATTTAGATATATTTAAAAATATTTTATAAGCCAAACCACTTGTGTCACTTGTTTATTTTAATAATAAATTAAACATTTTTAATTAAAATTTATTTATTATGTAAATTTACTGAAACGAAACGTGTATACATTTTTGATATGTTCATATCACATATAGATCCTTTACGACCATATTTTAACAAAACTAATATGAATGAAACCAAAGTGAGACATATTGATTTGATTGCGGATGGCCATAAAACAGTGAAGTTACAATGTTTTGTTGATGGGATGCCTAAACCAACAGTGACTTGGTACAAGGTGCAGTATGATATTTATATTTTATATGTGTGATTATCTTGTTTTGATGAAATACTATAAATTCTACATTTTATTTTTTCACAACTTCTAGGACAATATATTGTTAGAAGAAAATGACCAATATTATTTTATGTATAATCATCAAGAGCTTAACATAAAATATTTAAAACAAAATGATAGTGGAAAATATTCGTGTCAAGCTACTAATCGACTAGACACCATCAAAACTTTCCAGGAGATAACAATAAAAAATACAAAATGTAAGCTTCATAGAATATTTATAAAATAACATTATAAATAAAACATATGTAAAATAACGTATTATTTATGAATTATAATTATAAATAATAAGACTGAAAACAAAATCTTTGTAGGGCAGAAACTTGATATAGTATTGGCTGTTTCAATAGCTGTTTTGGGTATCGTGTTAGTAATTTTAACAATCTTTGTCACAATCAAGATTTGTCGTGAAAAGGTAAATTGTTTTTTATATTCTTTAGACAATTTATACAAACATAAATAAAATATAATTTGACATTAATGTTGTGGAAAAAAATTTGTAAACACTCAAAAAAATATTTCGCTGATGTAGTTAGATTTCTAGATATCGCAACAAGAATGTATCGCTATTTTTCGTATTTGTGAAAACATTGTTTGTCACATATAGAATTTATAGCAGTAATGTTCTAGCAATAGCTTCTGAAAAATTTAGGTACCATTGCTAAATGTTATTCATTGCATGATCTAACACGTGATTGATCTTATATAGATAGGCGCTTTAGAGAAACTTTCTTTTTAAAATTCACAAACAAAACAGATATATATTTTCTGTTATCTAAACTGATTAAGTAATTACATATGCAATATCACAACAATTGCTAATCATTTATCTGTTTTAGTTAATTTTTTACACCTAGAAAATTTTAGCTATTATTGCAAGATCATTTTTTTGAGTGAAGAATTTTATATTTTCTAATTACATAAAAATGGAATTGTTACACAGAGAATGAAGAGAGAACTAATGGAAGCAGGCCTTACGCATTTCGTAGAAGGTGCTTTGGAATGTTTGAATCCAGATCTGACAATTGACGATCAAGCGGAATTACTTCCGTACGACAAAAAGTGGGAGTTTCCACGAGAACGACTAAAACTCGGTAACGACTTATTTGCACAGTTAAAAAATGTCTATTTGTTACATTAGATACTTTAATCAATCAGATTTCAGGAAAGCAATTGGGTAGCGGTGCTTTTGGTGTAGTAATGAAGGCAGAGGCGCAAGGAATATGCGAAAATAAAAGCGTCACTATTGTCGCCGTGAAAATGGTGCGTCGAACCACAGATCCGACTTATGTTCGCGCCCTTGCGAGTGAATTGAAAATAATGGTACATCTTGGTAAGCATCTCAACGTTGTGAACCTTCTTGGTGCTTGCACAAAGAATATTTCCAAACGTAAGTATTACTATTTAATTAATAAAAATTTACACATTAATAATTAGAAATATTATTAAAATAATATATATATATTTTAAATATATCTTTTTTAAGTTTAAATAGCACTCAAAAAAATAATCTTGAAATAATAGCTAAAATTTTCTAGGTGTAAAAAAGTAACTCAAACAGATAAATGATTAGCAACTGTTGTGATATTGCATATGTAATTACTTAATCAGTTTAGATGACAGAAACAGAATATATATATGTATTGTTTGTGAACTTTAAAAAGAAAGTTTCTCTAAAGCGCCTATCTATATAAGATCAATCACGTGTTAGATCATGCGATGAATAACATTTAGCAATGGCACCTAAATTTTTCAGAAGCTATTGCTAGAACATTACTGCTATAAATTCTGTATGTGACAAACAATGTTTTCACAGATACGAAAAATAGCGATACATTCTTGTTGCGATATCTAGAAATCTAACTACATCAGCGAAATATTTTTTTGAGTGAGAGATTAAACAAACAAAATACTAAAAAACATTAATAATAATTAAAATCTCTATGTTATAACAGGTGAATTGTTAGTGATTGTTGAGTATTGCTGTTTTGGAAATCTGCATAATTATCTTTTAAAGCATAGAACCAATTTTATTAATCAAATTGACCTCAAGACTGGAAAACTCGATCCTACAATCGGCATAGATATATTAACGAGAACTGAGAGCGTCAGCAGTAATAACAGGTTTGTCTGTCAAACATATTTTAAACATTGTTTACTACAAACTATATAATACTTGTTTTATTAATAAATATATTCTATGATGAGAAGAAACATTTTTTACTCTAAATGCTAAATTGACTTTATTTATGCACAATTTATATTTTTATAAAATGTAGTAATTAATTAATAGCAGATATTTTTGAATAAAAACTTCTTAAAAAATAATAATTACAGTAAAGTTAAGAAATATAGTATTTTATATTGACTTTTTAATTAAATGTATTTTTTTAATAAACTAAATTTTTATACTAGTATCACATAAAATCTCTTACTGACTTATTTTACGTAAAATATCAAAACCTCTAATTTGAATAATTATATCCTGTGTTTATGAATGTACTTTGTACATCGTGTTAGTGCACAAACATATACATACACACATAAAAACTAGTGCGTGCAAGGGATTTAACAATGCGATTTAACAATGTTTTTCTCTTTCCTTTTGCTCATGCAACAGGATGAAATATGCAGCATTATCCTTTTCCCGCAGTCTTAGTATAAATTCAAGCACCGATACTACAGTACAGTATTGTCCAGAAACTAACCACGATTCTGAAGATATCAGCTTCTCTCCAGACGGATACATTCTTAGTGATAATTCGTCTCAACCGGGGTGGAAATCAAATTATCGCGGTGACTACAAAGACCAAAATCTCAAACCCATTTGCACTCAAGATTTGTTGTCTTGGGCTTTCCAAGTAGCACGTGGAATGGAATATTTGAGTCAAAGAAAAGTAAGTCACCTCTTATCTTAACTATGTAAATATAGTTGCAATATTAATAAAATAAACAAATAAGGAAAGTTCAATTTTTAATATATTAAACTAATAATATGAATAACATAATTAACAAATCGTAACATCAGTGTTGTATAATTAACAATAAGGCAATAATAATTTTCTTGCCTTTTACGTCAATTTGCTATGTTCATAAAATCAAATTTATCTACACTCACCCGAAAAAAAAGCGGTACACTGAAAATGTGGGAAAAATTCATCAAATTTCAACTGACGATAACTTCGTAAATAATAAAGATAGAAAGTTCTATAAAATATGGAAATGAAGCTAAAAATCTCTACTTTAAGAATCAATTTATTTCAATGTTGCAAAATAAATTTATTGAAAATGGCGGATGACAAAGCGCGAGCATGCAAAATTGAAAAATAATGGTTCGAGTTTGCGACGGTGCACGGTATAAACAAAAAATTGTAGCTTATTGGGATCAAAAGCGTACGAAAGTACAGAGTCTCCTCTTTAAAATGCTTTGTTATGCATCTCGATACGATGATTTTTCGCCGAGAGATTCGCATTTGAAGAAAAAGGCAGATTCTTACTTCAAATGCGAATCTCTCAGCGAAAAATCATCG